AATCCATCTGTTCTATCACTTCCTTTAAGATATTTATTTTCCTCATTAATTTTGTGTCTGGATGATCAATTGCTTTGTGTCAGTGATGTACTGAAGTCTCCAACAATGACTGTATTTTTGCTGACAATAATATTTTAAATCTGTTAATAGCTGCTTTATTAAAAAGGTGTGCCTATATTTGGAGCACAAATATTAATAACAGTTATACTTCTTGGTGAATTGTTCCCTTGATCATTATTTAGTGTTCATTTTGTCCCTGATTACCTTTTTTAGTTGAAAGTCTAGATATAAGAATAGCAAAAAGTCTAGATATAAGCAAAAAGTCTAGATATAAGAATAACAATTCCTGATTTATTCTGTAAGTTATTAGCATGTATGACCTTAACCTTTATTTTAGGTTTGATTTATCTTTCAGTTTAAATATATCTGCTGTAAACAAAATGTTGATGGCTGAAATTTTTTCACCCACATCATTAGAGCAATAATATAATCAGCTTTAAGATGATCAGATAGCAGACTTCCTAAGAGATAATCATTGAAATCTTGGTTTGCATGTAGCAATTTATATGGGAAATAATTTTGGGAACAATACCTGGAATTGACTGAAGGGAAGGGGAGGAGAGGGAAGTTCAGCTGTGATACAAATGCATCAGAGGGTGTCAAGTTTCTCGTTGTTAACTAACTCTGCGGACTGAAATGAACATTCTAAATTGTTCCAGGCAGTCAGTGGGTATAATAGCCATAGTCAGTGGATATTAGCTGTACTGGGGGAGAGAGGTACCCTATGGTAAGGCTGATTCCTGAAGTTGAGAGCAATTCCTGGGAGCAATAGCTCCCAACATAGTTGGGAGCTATCACCAACACAAACTTCCAGTATCTGCAATGAGTATCTCCATCCTTAAGACTGAACTAAGCATGAGTCACAAAATCCACTATAGGGGTTTTATGTTTTATTTTTGTTGTAGTTGTTAGTTCATTCTTTTAATCTAAACCTGATCGTAGTGATAAGAATGGTTTTGAGTGAGGAAATGTTGGTTAGATGAGATTTTGTGAAAATGGATGTTATCAAAGATGATGCCAAATATGCCATGGTGATTCAGTGGAGGGAAATACTGTCTTTTCATAAATGGTGCTGGAACAATTAGCTATCTATATGAAAAAAAACTCACCTTTTATCTAATTCTTATAAAATCTTAACCTGAAATTGATTATAGTCCTATAAAACTTCCAGAAGAAATCAAAAGAGAATCTTTGTGACCTTTGGTTAGTCCAAGTTTTTTCAGACAGAACACTAGAAAATAAATGGTAAAAGTTGAAAGATTGACAATATGAAATGTTAATGAGACTGTTGGGAACTATAACTGTCATACATTACTGATGAGAATGTAAAATTTTACAGTTGCTTTGCAAAGCAACTTTGTGGTTTCCTACGAAAGGATACACAATCCATGAAGTCAAGTCTCACTACAAGTATTTATCCAAGACAAATGAAAATTTAAGAAATGTACTCCAAAGTTAATAGCTGTTTAATCTATAATGGTGAAACTAGGGACCAAGGTTGGGAAGAGGATTGACTACAAAGTTGTACAGGGGACTTTTTGGGTGATGGGAAAAGTCTATAGTATACATCAAAATTGTGTGGTATGGTATGTGGCTATAGATATCGGTTAAAACTCACTGAATTGTACATTTATTATTTTCTTTTATGTCACACTTAAAATGAAACATAAAAATAAATGAGCAGCACTTACATGCCCACCAGGCCTTAGTTTCTCAGAGAAAGTACTTTTATATAAGCTTCACTAGTCATCCATGAAATGAGTACTGACACTGTACCAGGTTCCCTGCTTTTTATAAATGGCTCAATTTTATTTAAAGAGAGGGAAATCTAGGAATTTAACAGCTGTCATTTTAATGCTTCACTACTGGTAAATTGATCACCAAGCCCATATTAAGAAACTGGTTTATTTTGTATGACAAGGGTTATGTAATATTTTAAACTAAAAAAGAAACTTTAAAAATAACATATGAAAGAAAAATTCAAAGCAACTTAGTATTAGTATGTAAAATGGGCATCTCTTTTTTTTTTTTTTTTAAAGATTTATTTATTTATTTATACAAGCACTGGGTACAGTCAGAAGTGCAGGAGGATGAGAGAATTCACCAGAGCCAGAGTGGGGAACAGAACAGGCAGACTGACGAAGTACACTGCTGAGGGGAGCAGTGGGTGTGGCAGGAGAGGTCTGCCTGCCATATGGGACCGTTGCCAGTGGCCAGGGATCGAACAGGCGCTGCAGAGGATGCGGGCAGCTTCGCAGCCCAGCGCTCAACTGCTGTGCCACTGTGGAGGCCCAAACTGGGCATCTCTTTACCTAGATTTTATATGTATGCGTGTGTGCAAGTGACAATGTAATAGGCACCCACTTAATTGAGTAGATATGGCAAGAATGAAAAATTCAAACTGGAAAGAACTATTTTTGCTTCTGCAAGTACAAAGCTAATGATAGCAAGGAAAATGCCTAATGAGGACATTTTTCTCTACACTAAGTGTAATGGTAACCTCCCTTTTCCTCCTCACCCCCTCTTCCCTCCTCTTACTCTACACAGAGTCAGAACACATGCATGTGCACACACACATGCGCACACATGTGTATGTACTCACCTGTCTAGGTGAGGGTTTTACCATTTATTGCTGGACCTCTTTAGGTATCATCCAAAATTTCTACTGAGATTACTCTACTTCTCTGCTTTGCAGTAACCTTAAAGAGTAACTTTATAGTAATCAGATATAAGTAGAGCATGAGAACTTAAATATGAAAATTAAGTGTTATTCAAATATAAGGTATTTTTCTCCCCTTATGTAGGGTAAGGTAAAAGTATCAGGCTTTTCTGCCCTCCCGCCATTAGGATAGATGATGGAACCCTGCGGTTCTGAATGCATGCCTGATGGCGGGCACCTGGAATAGGGTGTGGACATATGTGGATAGGATTCACCTGGGCTAAGACTGGGCTTTTAAGGGCAGCGTCATGGGGATGCCAGCGGAAAGAGAGAATCAGGAACAGAAAAAGCAGAGAGAACTATGAGAGAAGCAGAGAGAATGCTGGAGAGCCCAGATGAATGAAGACTTGTTGGGGGCTGGGAGGCCTGCCAGCCTCCCGGCCCCCTGGCACCCCTTGCCAGCCGTGTACCTGGTAAATCACAATAAAAGCCTGAAAAGCCACTGAGGGCTCTATGGCTCCTCCTTTACCCAGTCTAATGGATCAGAAAACCTGCTCCATCCCTTCCTGCTGCTACACCACATATCAGTTTTTGTCATGTTGACAATTTTGTTACATGACACCCAAGTCACATCTATCAAATTTCTTTAATTATTCTAAATTAAATCTGACTCAGTTTTCACACTACAGAGGCATCAAATGCAATAGCAATATTTAGATGCAAAGCAATCTAAATCTCTCTATGTCTGTCTACCTATCTAATCTTATCTTTCTGGCTCTTGTTCTTTTCCTTGGAGATATACACAAACCTAAAATCATGAGGAAGAACCTCTCTTATTCAGTGATTGGTGATTGTCATTCTTTTCATCTCTTCCCCAATGGGCTGGTGTAGCCCATTTACAGAGAGGAAGAAAGCCTCATGCCCCTGAAACAAAGTTTGGCCTCAGTACTTTCCAGCATCTCAAACTGGGCTTTCTGAGGTCTAGCTTCCTTTGGTATGCATACTACTTAGGGTGCTGTGTATAAGTAAGCCACTGACAGAAAGTACAACTAGTGTGAACACCTCTGGTCAACATTTCACTGTTGTAGTTGTTTCTCCAAGTATAGATCCTAAAGCAGAAGTCATCACTTGAGAAACATTTTCCTCATTATCTTGATTTATATATTTTTTGACTCTTCTGCCCTGGACATCCCCGGCCCGTTTCACCCATTCCCTGTGGTTCTTCACCAGAAAGTATCTTAGACTTGTATCAAACTTTCTGGCCTCATTGGCACTGCTTCAGTCTTAGCCTGTTTGGCTGGGCATTTGCTCTCAAGGGGGTGGGGAGTTTTCAAATTTTTATTGGGAATCTATTATTAGGACTATCATTTTCTTCTCTCTATGCACAATAGCTCTATTAAAGATCTTTCATGCTAAGAGTCTACTTCCTTTGCCTTTGTGTGCATAAGCGGCTGGATCCCATTAGAGGATGCACTCTTTTATAGTTTTGGGTCCCTGGATAATTCTCGGTCATCTACTAACAGCATTACCAAATTTCTGGGTAAAGCTGTTCATTTTACAGGTTTTATGATTTCTCTTAATCTAGAGGCTTAGGTGATCAAGGCCTTCCCTTCAAGATTGATCATAATCTCAAATACCTCCAGGGACAAGGAGCCAGGTTAAATAGTCCCCAGGTGGTTTTATGGGAAAATAGGGAACATCTGTGCCTCTGAATTGGGTAGTTTCACTCCAGTGATGAATGCCCTGGGTGGGGGTGGAAGATCAGTTATCATCCAAGCTTTTGATTTTTTGGAAGAAATTAAAATGCATACTTTTAAAATATGTTACCTCCTGATATTCAGTTACAAAATTTAAAAACATAATGTGAACCAAGTCAAACTTCTCTGTGAACTGAGTATCATTTGAGTTTAAAGTCTAAGTACAATAGGAAAATTTGGGGGGAGGTAAAATCAAATTTTAAAAATTTATTTGGCCTCAATATAGCTGTTTTGATTAATTAAAACATGCCAATATCCAACTGTAATCTTGTGATTTATAAGAAAAATATATTTGGTCATTCGGATGACTAAAATCTATTTCTCACACATATTTGGTCTTTGTCTATGGTTGGTTCCTGACTCACAACTCCCAAGAGACTTGGAATTTCCTAAGTGCAGAGAGTCTTTTGTTAGTTAATGAGTGACTTTCGGACTCCACCTAAGAATGGGTGCTGGTTGCTAGGAGAGTCAACCATGTGATTAGAGGGTTGGAACTTTCAGTTCTCTGGAGAGGGGAGAGGGGCTGGAAATTGAGTTCAGTCACCAAAGGTCAGTGATTCAATCAATCATGTCTATGTAATGAAGCTGCTATAAAAATCCAAAGGACAGGGTTTAGAGAGCTTTCAGGTTGTGAGCAGATAGAGATGCTGAGAGAGAGTAGTTCCTTGCCTGGGGAGGACATGGAAGCTCTGCACCCTTTCACCATACCTTGCCCCATGCAGCTCTTCCATCTGGCTGTTACAGAGTTATACCCTTTTATAATAAACTAATAATCTCACATGTAAACAGGTTCCCTGAGTTTTGTGAGCCAATCTAGCAAATTAATAGAACCACAGAGAGTGTCCTTGGAACCTCTGACTTATAGCTAGTTGGTCAGAAGCTCAGCCAACAAACTGGGCTTGCTACTGGCATCTGATTTTTCTAAGGAGGGGATGCAGTAGTCAGTTGGTTAGAAGCTCAGGTATCTACCTGGGCTTAAATCTGACATCTGTCTGAAGTGTGGATGGAGGTGGGGTGGTCCTGTTAGCAGGCAGAATGAGGGGTAACCCCGGCCCCCAAACCTGCATGCTCTAAACAGGTTCTGCCATCTATTGCATAAAGGCAAAATGTACTTTAGTAAGACCTTCAATAGAAAAGAACTTTAATATAATTAGTGTGCAACAATTAGTGTACAATAAAGAACAGAGAAAGAGTATGGTTAAAATACTTTGCCCATCAAACACCAAAAGTTTCTTATCCCCTCCTGGGTAAATGCCCAGTCAAACAGGGTTGACCCAAAATAAGGCCACTGAGGCCAGAAAGCTTGCCACAGGCCTAAGGCACCTTCTGGTGGGAGTCTATAGGAAAGGAGCAGAAGGGGCCAGGCAAGTCTAAAGGAAAGGACCAAAATCAAAAGCCAAGTCAAGAAAAAGGCTGCCATTGTCAACCTCCCATGGGTCCTTCCTCCCATGTTTCTATTTCAAGTGTCCCTTCCATGTTTCCCAAGTCCCTTGTACAAGTTCAAGGCTGAGAAGTAGGCAGAGATTCTTCACGTCTCTCTGCTCCATGTGCCTCCTCCAGTCCTCTTCTTTCCTCATATCTCTCTCCTTCTCTTTCCTCTTCTTCAGCTTCTCATCCCTGCTCAGCCCCGCCCTTCTTTGGGAGGGGCAGGAAACCTGGAGCCTTCCCTTTCTGTGGCTATCACACTGTTACTGTCCTATAAGACTAAGCCCTAAACTGTGGAATCTAATGCTATCTCTGTGTAGTGACAGACTTAAGTTGAATTCTTAGACACTCTGCTGGTATCTAAGAGTTGCTTGTTGATGGAGAACCTCTTCGATCCTAACAACTCCAAATATGTATTAAAGCTTTAGCCCACTGATAAATTGATTGTATTTGTGGATCAACATGGGTTAATTCACATTATATTAAAAAGCTGTAAAAGATACCTATTTTATATGTTCCTCTGTCTAAAATACAACCTAGGAAAGCAGGTTTGTCCTTCTGGACATTTTAAATTACCCTGTGGGTCATTCAAGCCTTGTTAATTAGATTTCATGCTATTGCCCTGTCTCATGGATATAAATAATGTTTTAGTCATGATCTGCATGTTTTTCACTGGACTGATGCTTTCCCTTGCAAACAGGCTATTGTTTCTTCTGTAGCCAAAGGTCTTTTGGAGAAACCTATCCTTACCTGGAAAGTGAATCTTGAACTTTATAGTGACCAAGCAACCCATTTTACTGACTAGGTGCTCTGGTAAGTTGCCATTTGGCCAGTTTTATAATATTTTCACTGTGTTTGCTACCCTCAACTCTGGTTCAACAGGTCACACCAATAGTATTATTAATACACAAGTGACCAAGTTTTTAGAGATCCTCCAATTACCTTGGCCAAAAGCATTGGTGTTGGTCCTTTTAACTTTCAGTTCTGTCCCTCTTGAAATTCATGAATTCTCACCCTTTGTGATAGTCACAGGGTGTGCCCAACGTACCTAGCCTGTTTCTTTGATCTGCAGTTGATTAACGAAAATATATATCAATACTGTAAAAACCTAATTACTTCTAACAAAAATAATCATGTTCTGATTGAGCAATCTTTTCACAGAATGCTCCAGGGAGACAAAGACCTTAAGCAACATAACCCGAACCTGCAACCTGGATATTTTGTCTATCAGAAAAGAAACCTCCAGAAAGATTCGCTTCAACTTTGTTGCAACAACTTCTATAAAGTATTGGTAACAAACTCTTCAGCAGTCAGACTTTAGGGTATAAACTCTTGGATTCACATGACACATTTTAAGAAAGCACCAAATCTCACTGAACCTGTACACCATCTGATAACCTGAACATAAAGATTTTCTGCAATTAAAATAGATTAACATTTGGTGAGACAGTTTTCCAAGATGTCAGGATTAAGTCTATTAGAAGGATATAGATTGAGATGAATAATGCCTAAGACATGTCTCCTTTACCACTCCTTGTTATTTAATGTGATCTCGATAGATTCTTTATCTGTGCATTCTCTCTTCAATATGAGACATGAGACCTCTGAAAGACCCTTCCTGGAACTGAAGGACAACAATGTCATTGAACCTGGGAATAAACCTGACTCTTAATCAGCAATGCTTTCAGAGAAAGATCTTGATCAAAAGGGGAAACGTGAAAATTAAGACATAAATCGTGCTTAAATGGAATAGGAGCCTAGAAGACTTCTCACACATGCACAATCAGCAAAAAGTAGGCCCTTGATTAATACAGTTTGTTCGACATTTCATTGTAACATAGAAAAACCAATCCTAGCTGACAATGACCAAAGTGACATTATTCAAGGACCTGCTTTTGTTCTACATCATTCCACTTAAAGTCACAGGTTCCAATAACTTATCAGTAATTTTAAGTAAGGACTTACAGTACAGGACGCAAAATGCCTTGTGTAGGGTAAAGTAAAAGTATCAGGCTTTTCTGCCCTCCTGCCATTAGGACAGATGAGGGAAACCTGTGGTCCTGAATGCATGCCTGATGGCGGGCACGTGAAGTGGGTACACCTGGGCTGAGAGAATGAGTTTATAAGGGCGGCATCACGGGGACACCAGCAGAAGCCAAGAATGAACGGAAGATGAGAGAACGCCAGAGAGCCCAGACAGAATGAAGTCTTGCTGAGGGCTGGGAGGCCTACCAGCCTCCCGGCCCCCTCAGCACCCCTGCCTGCCATGTACCTGGTAAATCCCAATAAAAGCCTGAAAAAGCCACTGAGAGCTCCAGGACTCCTCCTTTACCCGGTCTCCTGGGTCAGAAAACCTGCCCTGTGCCATTCCTGCCCCTACACCTTGTATCTCTGATGGAAGGATGTTGCTTCTCGGTCTCATCAGAAGGAAGGAGACACTTCCCAGTGCAGTACTAACCCCTTTAAATAGAGGTTATATAACAGGGCACCAACTTTGATTGTAGGAAGAACACTGATGTCTCACTATGAGACTATATTTCCCAAATTGTCTTTTTGATGTTTTTTTCTGAATAAAACCAATTCATTGGTAAAATAATGGGTCACCTTTTATTTGAAGTCAACAGTGTGGGGAACACCTCACTCCCTACATTGGAAACTGGCCTCAGAATACCCATTCATCAACATAAAGGATACATAATTAAATATTCAGGAAGAAACATGTTGAAATAATTGCTCAAGGGAACTATCACATACATACCTTTGAGTTCAGATAGAACTTAATTGGGGTAAAACAGAGTATTGTGGCTCTGCTTTTCCAGGCCAACAGTTGGGGATAATCAAGAGTTTTCATGACAACAGTGGTGACATTTGTCTTCTAGATTGCACCCACCTTTAACTATTAGGTTTATCAAATCCAAGAAATTTGTCAAATACCTTTCACATACCAGGAACTGTGCTAGGTACCAAGGACACAAAGTTGAGTAAATCAATCTTTGGCTTCAAAGAATTTAGAGTTTAGCGGGGGAGAAAGAAGCCTAAATAACTGTAACGTAATATTCTATGTGTTATTAAATGGAAGATTAATTGTAAGGTACACCATTATGCTTTGTACCTTTAAGAAAATCAGTTGACTATGATACTATTCTGATTTATATTATTCTGATTTTAATATATACTCTGATCTCAGATGTATTAAAACCTCATGTATTATCAAAGTTTCATTAAGGAGATCTGACCACCTGGGCAAACCAAGGAGCTACAGTGAAGTATTTAAGGGTAAAATTAGTCAGATTACTTTAAGCATGTAACACAGGGCAAGACACTCAGCCTTTTTTCTCCCTCATCTGTAAAATAAGGTAATTATAGTAATCATCCTATAGATTTGTTGTAAAGATTAAATAAAGATTTCACTAAGAATACTCAGCAGTGTTTTAGGTCTAGGTAGGTGCTCAATAAAAGTTGGTTATTATTTGCAGAGGTCATTAATGATAGTATGTGCAGCTGAAGAAAGAGTAGATCTTTTCTAAGATGTGAGAGAGAAAATAGGTTTCAGGGAAGAACAGAATGCACAAAGAGCTGGAAGTCTGTTTCTGGAACATTCTGCCTGAGTGCTATGCTTACTAGGAGAGGTGTTGTGTTTTTTTTTTTCCTTGAGTAACTGTAAATCTTTTCACCTTCTGGAACCTCCCTTCCCTTTCCTCCAAACCCAACACAAACCACCTGGTTATTTAATTTTTTCAGTCTTATACTCAAAAGTGCACACCTGGCCTTGTACTCAACAATGAATTTGGTTCCTCATGAGCAATGACAATAGTGACTTGTCTTCCATTTCTCTCCTCACTTCCCTATGCCTCTTTCTTGTTTGGGGGGCCTTTGTCCAACATCCTTTGTTTAAGTGGATTAACTGCTAGCTCCCAGTGCCTGTCAATTTCTTTCAGGGGACTTCATGCAAATATGGCTCCAGGTGGCCTGTCCTGAGTTCCCAGAGTCTACCTGGTAGATAACACTCTATTAGGACATTCACCACCAATAACATTAAGTGAGACTAACCTCCTTTGAAGTTAGGAGAGATTATTCAACTTGCATGAAATATTACAATAGTTAATAACAGAGCTGACACTGTCTAGTTTTTTTTTTGTTTGTTTGTTTTATTATGGTCTATTGTCATCCAAAATGTTTCTCCTCCTAAAGGACATTTCTCTCTCTCTCTTTTTTTTTAACATTTATTTATTTATTTATACAAGCACTGGGTACAGTCAGAAGCGCAGGAGGGTGAGAGAATTCACCAGAGCCAGCGCAGAGAGCAGAGCAGGCAGACTGACGAAGTACACTGCTGAGGGGAGCAGCGGGCGGCAGGAGAGGTCTGCGTGCCATGTGGGACCCTCCTCCAGTGGCCGGGGAGCAGCCAGGGATCAAACCAGCGCTGCAGAGGCTGCTGGCAGCTTCGCAACCCAGTGCTCAATCGCTGTGCCACTGGGGAGTCCCAAGGACATTTTCTCTTAATGTTATTTCCTTTGACACAGTGCCCTCCCCTTTTAGAAAAAAGGGAGCATCTTGAGTAAGAAACATAGCCAGTCTTAGAGTTCCTCCACCCACGCATTTCTCCACACATATTTACTGAGTACCAACTTAGGGAATGGTACTCACCTACAAGTAGAGGATTTGAGGTTTAACAAGACCACCTACCTTGTCCCAGTTCTCAGAGTTTAGAGTTTACAGTCTAGCAGAAGAGGAAATTAAAGTCATTTCCAGGGCTGACAGCAAAGGCAGCTTAGGGAATGTGTCTCAGAGGCAGTTTCTGCTAAGTAGAGATAAAAGGATGGGAAAATTAGCTAAGTAAAGGATGGGGGCAGCAGTGACAAAATAAGATATAAAACATTTTGCAATCTGTAACAGCAGACATGTGTAAGATTGTGTGTATGGTTATTAAATATACAGCTCTCTCATCTCCCCACCCCAGCTCTCCAATCTCTGTCCCAGGTTTTCCTTCCATTAAACTTGTATCTCTATTTCTTTCTCAGAACAATCTCTTTTTTATTCTGTGTAATTCTTGTTTAATGTATGTTTATTATATTATTATACTCTTGCATTTGAAATCTCTTAAACCAGATCCTGGAGCTGAGAAAGATGCAAAGAAGTTAAAAGTGGGATTTTCTTTCCTTGGTTTTAATTCTGAAGGATGAAATATACAGAGAAGTTCTGGCAAGGGGTGATTATAATAGTGTCTTTCAAATATTTTTGATTTAGATCCATAGTCAGAAGTACATTAACACAGCAACCAGAATACACACATATTACTCTAACACTAGTTTCCCAAAATTTATGTTTTGGAAAAAATCACCCTTATATATTTTATACTGACATTTTTATATTTTGGATATCAACTAGTGTTTTTCAGGGTAGCAATCCTTTTATGGGTCACCATATGAATTTAATGGATCATAATGAGCACCTTAAAAAAGAAAGAAATATCTATGTGGATGCAGGCTGGGAAAGAGTGAAGGCACCCTGACATTGACATCAGTTTTTTGGAGCAAAAATGTGCGTATCTTAGACTTTCTAATGCTCTGCTTCTTGCGTTATTTGTGCCGTATTATATGAAACTCTTTACTTATCAGTGGTTATGATAGTGGCTTTTGGAGTATGGGTTCAAATCTTGATACTACAACTCAGAGGCTGTGTGACATGGGACACTTGACTTAGTCTCCTGTTCCCTGCCTGCCTTCTGTGTGAAATGGAGATTATAACAGCACTTACCTTACTCAGTTGCAAGGATTAAATGACATTATACACTGATGGGACATATAGATACTCCATAAATATTAGCCATTATAGATCTTTCTCTTTTGTTTCCTCCTACTATGTTCAGCTTTTTTTTTTTTTTAGCTTGCTAAATGATTCACAGGAAAAATTATGAAGCTGGGGGTTGAAAAAATCAAAGTGAAAGGATAACAAAAGGAAATTGAAATCTCAAGGCAAAAGTGGACATTTCTAGTCTTTCCAGAGTTAAAGGATTTTATTTTCTTAAAGATTTTATTTTCTTAATACCAACACATTTTTTTTTTTTTTTTATTAAATTTATTTTTATATTCCCCCATACAATTGCAAACGCCCATTCTGACCCCAATCCTTCCCCTCCCGCCCCCCAACCCCCAAAAGTGTCTCTGGTTCATAGTTTTTTTGTTGATTTTGATTTTCACTTTCTTATATTCATTTTCCTGGTCCCTTATTTAAGTTTTCTAGATTCCTGCTATGAGTGAGACCATCCGGTATTTTTCTTTTTCTTTTTGGCTTATTTCGCTGAGCATGATCCCTTCCAGTGCCATCCATGTTGCTGCAAATTGCATGTGTTTATCTTTTTTGAATGCTGAGTAATATTCCATGGTATATATGTACCACATCTTCTTGATCCAGTCATCTATTTTTGGGCATTTGGGTTGTTTCCAAAGCTTAGCTATTGTAAACAGTGCTGCTATAAACATAGGGGTGCAGGTGCTCTTTGGAATTGATGTTTCTGTGTCCTTTGGGTAAATACCTAGGAGTGGAATTGCTGGATCATATGGAAGCTCTATGTTTAGTAGGTCCAGAAATCTCCACACAGCTCTCCATAGTGGTTGGACCAGTTTGCACTCCCACCAACAGTGCACAAGAGTTCCTTTTTCTCCACATCCTCGCCAACATTTGTTGTTGCTAGTTTTTTTAATATGTGCCATTCTCACTGGTGTGAGATGGTATCTCATGGTAGTTTTGATTTGCATTTCCCTGATTACAAGTGATGTTGAACATTTTTTCATATGTCTGTTGGCCATTTGCATTTCCTCTTCAGAGAAGTTTCTTTTTAGCTCTTCTGCCCATTTTTTGACTGGATTATTTTCTTTGTTGTTGCTGAGTCTCATCAGCTCTTTGCAGATTTTTGTGATCAGTCCTTTATCATTAGTGTTGGGTGCAAAAATGTTCTCCCAGTTGGTGGGGTTTCTCTTTGTTTTTGTTATTGTCTCTTTTGCTGTGCAGAAGCTCTTTAATTTGATGTAGTCCCAGCTGTTTATCTTTCTCTTCACTATCACTGCTTTGGGTGATGTGTCTGTAAAGATGTCTTTGATGTGCAAATCCCGTAGTGTTTCGCCTATATTTCCTTCTATGTATTTTATGGTTTCAGGTCTTATGTCTAGTTCTTTAATCCATTTTGAGTTGATTTTTGTGTATGGTGTGAGGTAGTGGTCAAGCTTCATTCTTTTGCATGTAGCGACCCAGTTTTCCCAGCACCATTTATTGAACAAACTTTCTTTGCTCCAATGCATAGTCTTTGCTCCTTTGTCAAAGATTAGTTGACCATAAATCTGTGGGTTTATTTCTGGATTTTCTATTCGATTCCATTGGTCTGTATGTCTGTTCTTGTTCCAATACCATGCAGTTTTGATGATTATGGCTTTGTAGTATAGTTTGAAGTCTGGGAGTCTGATGCCTCCATTTCCTTCTTTTTTTTTCAGTAGAGCTTTGGCTATTCGGGTT